TGAACGAGGAGTGCTATCGGAACCCCAATGAAAGGACCTAAGGAACAGCGAGTGCCTCCCGAACCCCCAGCGTCTTCGCTTGGCGTGTCGTGACGGCTGCCCCAGCGACACGCTGTGACCTGCGAGGGGATAGCGCGTCGCTCCGCTTCGTCGGGCGGGAGGCAGGGAAGAGCTCGAGGCGTTGGTGCTTAGAGACTCTCAGATCCGGCGATGCAAAACAATGTGCAGCACCGCGAGAAAGCCCGACCAGAACCCAGGACCGACTCTTCGTGCTGCATCGTGCGAGCCGCCCGAGACCGAGCGACAAGAGCGCCTGGTGCAAACAAACTGTAGTGCCCCGCTCTCAGAGGACGGGGGACGGGCGAGCGAGCGCCCCGGCGCGCCTGGTCAGTGAGTTCAAGAACAACTGCCCTCCGCTGCTGCCTGTTGCATGGCTTGAATCTCTCTGGAGATGTCAGAACGATGTGCCTGTATGCCGCTGCTGTGATGCTTTATTACAAACGTGTAGGTATAGGTCGACATATATATATATATATATATATATATATACATACATACATACATGTGTATATAGTCGTAGATGAGAGAGGCGTGTCGCGCCGAAGCCTGGTGGGCCAGCCGCGGCGGCGCGACCACGCCGAGCATCGGGGGCGCGCAAACATGGATCAGCGATCCATGGATTTGGCGCGCGGTCGCCACATCCATGGACAGGGGGAGGTTCGAGCCAGTGCCGCCTCGCTCGGCGGCGGAACTCCGCGATTTCCCATGGAAACCGGGACCCGTCGCTAGTCCACGCCCCCTTTGATCCGTGCCTGCGATCGCCTGAGCGCAGACGTTCCCCGCACGCCGCCGGCGCGGCGCGCGGGCGCGCGCGGCGCACCGCGTCCTGCGGCAGCGCGGCGTACTCCGCCCGGTTGGGCTGGCCTCTGTGCGACGCCACGGAGGCCTCCGCTCGCTGCGCGGCGCGGCCGCCCACCCCCGAGGCCCAGGGGAGGCCACGCCTCCGTTCGTCCCCTGCTCCTCCTTTCCCGCCCCCTCCACTCCTCCCTCTTCCTTCTCCCTCCTCCTGCTCCCTCCTCCTCCTCCTCCTCCTCCTCCTCCTCCTCCTCCTCCTCCTCCTCTCCTCTCCTCTCCTCTCCTCCTCCTCCTCCTCCTCCTCCCTCCTCCTCCTCCTCCTCCTCCTCCTCCTCCTCCTCCTCCTCCTCCTCCTCCTCCTCCTCCTCCTCCTCCTCCTCCCTCTCCCTCCTCCTCCCCTCCTCCTCCTCCTCCCCTCCTCCTCCTCCTCCTCCTCCTCTCCTCCTCCTCCTCCTCCTCCTTCTCCTCCTCCTCCTCCTCGCCTCCTCCTTTAACGTTGTGCAGACATGGATATCGGAGATCGTTGGGTTATTCCTCCTCCTCCTCCTCCTTCTCCTCCTCCTCCTCCTCCTCCTCAATCCCTCTCTCCCTCCCCCCTCCCCCCAGTTCTTCCATCACTCCCCCTTCGAGACAGAGCCTCCCCGTCGTAGGCTCCGGCTCTCCCTCCCTTTTTCCCCCCCAGACCCAACGCCAGCGTGAAGAACCATTCGCCCCCTTCCCGGGGTCCGGCTTCGCGTGAAGGATCGGCTTCTGGGCGGCCCCGGGGCACTACAGGCATCCTAGATGGGGTCCGAGTAGATGGGGTCTGAGGATCTCGCCGCATGGCCGATACATGGGCGATGCATCGGCGATGCACCGGCGATGCATCGTCGACGTCGGCGGTGCATCGGCGACGTCGGCGTGAAGCAGATCAGCCTGCTCATGGAGCCGCGTCGGCCATGCATCGGCGCAGCAACGCGATGCTCCGACCCCGTCAAGGAGGCCTAGAGTTCAGGATCGGCTTTTGGGCGGCCCCAGGGCACGCAACGGGCCCCTGGAGCAAGACAAAGCCAGGACGAGGACAGCATCGGGCGAGGACACGTCGAGAATCTCTGCGGTCCGCCCGCTGTGGAGGGTTCCGCGGCCGCCCTCCTCTCTTCCTTGCTCTCTTGCACGCTGGACAATTTGCCTACAGGATCCGGCCTGACCTAAGGAACAATAAATCAGGAACGAACCCCCTTTTTTTCCAAGTGAGTCTACGAAGTCCGCAGGAACGGACCCGCGCGTCCAAAATCTGAAGGAACATCAGGGGGCTCGCCGCCCAAAAGGTGGCGGAACGCATGCAAACCAAAGGAACGACGAGCCCCTTTTGAAAAGTAAGTTTTCCTTTTTCAAGCCGGATCCTGTATCGGTGCCCCCGATTAGCCCTTTCGCTGGTGCGGATCGCCTCCGTCTCGCCGCCGACGGACACATGTTCTGGAGGATGCCTCGGGCGCCGCGGCCTTCCCGGAGCGTTCCGGAACGCTCTGAGATTGTTCCGGAAGCGCTCTGGAGCGGATTGATCCTCGTCCTCCCAGATCATCTGGAATCAATTTTCTTCGGTCGTGATCAGTAGCGACCTATCGGCACCCCAAGTCGGTCGCGCCGATTGCGACCGATTTTGAAGCAAGTAGTCGGTCGCGACCGATACCCACATTTGATGTAAAATCCGTAGCGGCCGATCTCGTCGGTCGCGACATGGCCTAGGAGGGCCCCGAGAGTGGCCCAAGAGAGCCCCAAGACGGCCCCCAAAGCGCCCAAGAGCGCTCCGAGAGCGCCCCAAGAGCGTCCCAACAGGCAATGTGTTGGGCTCCCGAGAGTGGACCCTAACTAAAGCTCAGCTCTTTCTTGATCGGACGCGAGGGGTCTGCGAGCCAATCGCTCACATGAGTCATCCTCTGTCCCACTCCACCGTTCTGCCTTCAACCCAACCCCGAATTACTGCCTCTCAGGTGGAGGAAGAATGAGGATGAAGAGGAGGAGGGAAGGAGGAGATACCTTCCAAACGGTAAAACAACCGAGATGAGGAGGAGAAAAGGGATGAGGAAAACAAAGCAGGACGAGGGAGGGAGGAGGGGGAGGCGAACGAGGAGATAAGAGGAAACCACACCATGAGAGGGAGGGAGGCGAAGGAGGAGGAGGACACACTAATGAACCACCAAACCCTTTATTCTAAACGCATCCGTGATTCACGATGCCCAAGGTCCATATGTTTGAGCAATGCGATCTGAGACACCGGCAGCTCCAGATCGGTCCCCAGACCACTCCCACGATCATTAGGTACCCGATTTGTTCGAACCCGCTAGGTAGCGACCAATTGGCATTCCAAGAGCGCGTTTCTTTCTTTTCGGCGAAGATGGGCGTCATGGGGGGGGAGTGGGGGGGGTATGACGTAACGCCCCCACCCCCGCCGTGTGGCTCTGGCACCACAGAAGCGCCCGCGCGGACGACGATGGTGAGCGACGATCGAAGAGCGACGAGCGACGACGACGACGACGACGACGACATCGCGAGCAGTATGTAGGTGGCAATCTGCCCCACAACGCCTGTGTACACAACAATGCTCGCGTGCACCATAGCGCGCGTGTACACCACAGCGCCTCCGCACACCGCAACGGCCGTGTGCAACGCAGCGCCTGTGTACACCACAGCGCTTGCGTGCACAATAGCACCGGATTGCAGCACAGCGATTGTTTACAACGCAGCAACCATGTGAAACACAACGCCTGTGTACACCACAATGCTTGCGTGCACCGCAGCGCCTGTGCACACCGCAGCGCCTGTCTACACCACAGCTTCTGCATGCAACGCAGCGCTGGTCTACAGCAGTGCCTGCGTGCACAGGACAAGTAGAAGAAGCATGTCGGTTTTGATCTGCTGCGGACAGCTATAGGCCACGCCAGGAAAGTGCTGATAATAGAATGCGGCGTTCTTCCCTCCTCTTCCCTCCTCCACCTCCACCTCCTCCTCCTCCTCCTCCTCCTTCACCCTTCCCCCTTGACGTGCGGGTCGGCGCTACAGCGCACGTGCGCATCTCACCGTGCACCGCAGAACGGTCAATTGAATCAGTTCGCTTGGTTTTCGGACGGCCAAATTAGCTGGACCCTGCTGGAAGCAAATGGGAGGCGTCAGGATGATGCGGGCGGACTCGGGAGGACTCGTAGATTCCAGCGGCGCACCTTTGTCCATAAGGATCTTTCAGAATCCTATAAAAAGCGAGTGTCTTCTGTAGAATCCACAGACGATCCATTTTGTCATAAGGATATACTCCCAAACTCGATATACAACAATGTTGCTCTGTTGCACACGGTTGCTGTGGTGCACACAAGCGCCGTGGTGTATACAGGCGCTGTAGTGCACGCAGGCACTGTGGTGTACACTGGTGCTGGGTTGCGGACGGCTGATGTTTGGTGTACGCAGGCGCTGTGGTGTACACAAGCGCTGTGGTGCCCGCAGGCACTGTGGCACACACTGGCGTTGTGTTGCGCGCGGCTGCTGTGGTGCACACAGGCGGTGTGGTGTACACAAGCGCTGTGGTGCACGCAGGCACTGTGGTGTGCACAGGCGTTGCGGTGCAGATCGCCACCGACAAGGTGCTGCGACCCGTCTTCAGTCATTCCTAGGCATTCCCAGACGCCGCTGGCGCGGAACGTGACGTCATCGACCCCCTCCCCCTCCCCACAGATCATTGCCGTCATCGGCCCGGAATAAAATATCAGGCTTCAACCGCGTCCGCACGCACGACGACGATGAACGACGAGCGACGAGCTACGAGCGACGACGACGACAGCGACTGCGGACCAGACTCCTATGCGGACACCTCTGCGGATCCTGGTGCGCACGGCGGCAGTGCCCAGAGCGCACTGGGGGGGGGAGCGTTATGTCATAGGGGGAGGGGCGGGGGCCATGACGCCCGTCATTCCCCAAGCAATACAGAAGCACGGTCCAAATCGAGCGCGACCGATACATGACTTTGAAAGGAAATCGGTTGCGACCGATATTGTCGGTCGCGACATAGAACATGGGACCCATTGATCCAATCAAGGTCCAAGCGCACGAATCGTTCGAGCTGCGTCCAGCCGTGTCGACGAGGATGCCCCCAGAAGGCCACGTCGCCCTGTCTTATTTTTGTCCTCCCGGCGCGCGGCAGGCTGAGCACTGATCCGCATCGAGGGCCCGAAGTGCCAGACAAATTCCGCAACGCACCAGGAACAGGCTAGCTTCCAGTGTCAACCTGTGCAAGCCGCCACTCCTCACCAATCAAAACGTTGGGGACTTGCTCAACAAACCGATATGTGTACATCCCGACCAGTGATGCCCTTCCGTAGCAACACGCGCGAATACTCTTGCGGGACACATTGAGACGGCGAGCGGCTTCGTGCATAGACGGGTACTGTGCTGTCTCCCTCGTGATCTTATGCTGTGCTAGGACAGCTTTGCTGGTCGCCAGTGGGCCCCTTTTTCGATGCCTGTTCGTCTCGTAAGAATGCAATACATTCTCTCTCCGTGAAACCCACTGCAGATTAGAAACCCTGTTGTTCTGCTTATTGCCATCGATGTGGTTAATCTCGCGGCGCTCTTGGTCAGGTGGTGGACCGATGAATGCGCGAGCCACCAGTCTATGCACAGCCATCTGCTGTCCATGCGCACTTACCCTTCGATACCGATCGGCGCATCGAGTGCCCCAACCCACACGTGTCCTCGAAGATTTGACCCGACCCTCAGAACTAACAATCCAACCTCGAAGAATTTCTCCTGTGTCTGGATGCGTTGCCTGCTTCCACTCCTCACCCGGGGCATTGTCTAACGAATCCGCCAGTCCGTATTTGAACTCATACCCGCCAGCTTGCTTACCCAAGCCTCTGCAACATCTCGATACATTGGATGAATGTAAATTCAACTGTCGCGAGGCTTCGGCAATCGAGGGATACCAGGTCCAAGCAGCGGTCCCAACTCGTTTGCCCAATACTGCCCTCGCTTGCATCCACCCACCAGTTTTACGATTCGGGTCGAGAAGGAATGAATGAATCACATTTTGCGAAGGTGTGGCGTACTCCAGGTTGGTCACATGGTTGTTACTTTTAATTCCATCCTTGTGGTTAATATGTACATGCCGTGGACTTGGGGGCGGCCCCAAAAAAGCCTCCGCAACAAGACGATGGACAAGCCGTGTGCGACCACCAGCTGCAGATACTCGATAGCCGCTTGGAGTCAGATTCCCAAACCCAATATGTCCTGAAAGAGATTGCACACGGCCATAACTACTCACCATAAGGCATCTTGGACGCAACAACGGCGCGTACAAATCTGGTCCAGCAGCGGGTACTGCACTCACCTTGAGAATGGAAGATGACAACGCTCGCAAGGAACAAGCCCGACCAAACACTCCGCATTGTAACATATCGCGAGATGGCGCCACGCCAAAAACCCTACTGACCAGGCACCTCGAACAGCTTGAAACATGGACACGACCGGTCTATGGACGTTCAAAGACAGCTTAGCTTAAGGCATCCTGACTTGGCAATGCTCGCTTGGTCGTTGAGCAAAGCTGGCTACGGACTTGAGCCAAAATGGCTTGAGCCAAAATGGCTACGGAGAGTCCCCCTGTCTATCTAAGCTCGCCCTCCTCTTTCTGGCGTTGGCAGGACTGGGATTCTTCTTGGGCTTTGGTTCAGTGATGTCTGCCGGGGGACGCCCCCACCCCCCACCCAAACCTTCGCGACCCAACGCGACAACAGCTACGGCAGACCTGCTTTGGTGACTTTGTCGTGCTTCGCAGCTTCGGGGCTCACTAACTAACCGTTCCCCATGCCCGCCCAGGGGATGTGGGTGCGTCCGCGTGCGCGCGTCTGCGCGCGCGCGTAAGCGCGGTGGTAGTGGGCGGAGCGGGCGGGTAGGCTCGGCGCGGGTGGGGTGGTGGTTTCGGTCTGGTGTGCGCGTGTGTGTCTGAATGTCTGTGTGTGTGTTTGCGCGCGCGCTTGTATATGATTGTTTCTACGCCCTGTCGCTGCGCGCAAGGCTGCGCGCAGGGCCGCGACGCCAAAAAAGTGTGTGCGCGTGTGTTCTCTTGCGTGCTCGCATGTGCCCATCAGGAATGACAAGAAAAAGGCTACACTTCTCGTGGAGTCCAGAATTCGCCTGAGAAAATCAAGCGTCTGGACTGGACCCTGTGCGTTTTCTCGATGCTTCCTCTCTTCGCAGTAGAATGCTCGTATATCTGGACCTGGACTACTTGTGAACAGAACGCATGGTGCGAAATCCATGTTTTCAGCTGTGCCTGTGCGTGTGTGTCGGAGCAGTCACTCTCAGCCCAGCCGCCGACGTGTATGTATGTATGTATGTGTGTATATATATATATATATATCTCGGAAAAGAGGTGAGATCGAAGTGAAACGGAGAGCCCCCCTACCGGGAAATCGGTTTCGGTTTCGTGTTCGTGCGTGCCGTGCGTGCGGGCGAGGCGAAGCTGCGTGGGCGAGCGAGAAGAAAGTCTCCTCCCGCTGAGGCGCGGCCCGACCAAATGATTCTTGACCAGGGGCCGGTGGCGCGAGGTGTCCCGCCGGTGTCCCGCCTCCGGCTGAGGGGCGGCCAAACCAACTGATTCCGGACCGGGGGCTGGTGGCGCGCGGGGTCCCGCCGGTGTCCCGCCTGTGGCTGAGGCGCGGCCGGACCAAATGATTCCTGACCGGGGGCCGGTGGCGCGCGGAGTCCCACTGGTGTCCCGCCGGTGTCCCGTCGGTGTCCCGATGATGATGATGATGATGATGATGATGATGATGATGATGATGATGATGATGATGATGATGCTGATGATGCAGATGATGATGATGATGATGATGATGGTGGTGATGATGATGATGATGATGATGATGACGATGATGATGACGATGATGATGATGATGATGATGCTGATGATGATGATGATGTCGATGATGTTGATGATGATGGTGCTGATGGCGATGGTGGTGCGGATGATGGTGTCAAGATGATGATGATGTTGGCGATGTTGATGGTGGTGATAATGACGGTGTCCCAACGATGATGATGTTGATGATGATGTTGCTGAAGATGATGATGGTGTCCCGATGATGATGGTGCTGATGATCCTGATGAGGCTGATGATGATGAGATGATGTTGAGATGATGTTGATGCTGATGATGATGATGATGTCCCGATGATGGTGGTGATGAGGTTTATGATTATGCTGCTGATGATGATGGTGATGATGATGGTGTCCCGATGATGATGATGTTGGTGATGATGATGACGATGATTGTCCCGATAGTGATGATGATGCTGATGATGATGTTGATAATCAGGATGATGATGAGGTGCTGATGATGAGTTTGATGATGGTGGCCCGGTGATGTTGATGACGATGCTGGTGTTGATGATGATGATGGGGTCCCGATGATGATGATGGTGAGGATGAGGATGTTGACGATGATAACGGTGTCCCGATGATCATGATGTGGATGATGATATTGCTGATGATGATGCTGATGGTGTCCCGATGATGGTGATGAATGTTGCTGACGTTGTTCATGATGATGATATGATGATGATGGTGGTGTTCCGGTGATGATTGTGGTGTCCCGATGATGATGTTGATGATGATGAGGGTGACGATTACGGTGTCCCGATGATGATGATGGTGATGATGATGTTGATGGTGATGGTGTTGGGGTGATGATGATGATGGTGCCGCGATGATGATGATGATGATGATGATGATGATGATGATGATGATGATGATGATGATGATGATGGGGTTGATGACGTTGACGTTGATTATGTTGATGATGGTGATGACGTTGATTGTGAGAACGGTTGTGGTATCGATAGTGAGATCGATAGTGAGAGCGAATGTGAGATCGATTGTGAGATCGATCGTGAGATCGAGTGTGAGATCGATAGTGAGATCGATTGTCAGATCGCTTGTGAGATCGATCGAATGAAACATATCGGGCGAGATCGATTGTGCCATCGATCGAGTGAGATCGATCGAGCGAAAACGATAGTGAGATCGATAGTGCGACCGATCGAGTGAGACGTTGGTTCCTCCCCCCTTAACCTCCTTATCACCCGAAGGGTGGTCGTATAGGTATATCTAGTTGTGTATGTATACACATATGTATATATACGTATATATATACATATATGTATATCTATATATGTCATATAGGTGTGTGTGTGTGTGTTTCAACCCGGCCGCGCCCGCGCACCTGCCGCAGCTTCGCTGCGTGAGTGTGCCCCCACGCTCTGCCCTCTTCCCTGCGGCCGCCCCTCCTCCCCTCCCCCACCTCGTGCCTGCGAGCCAACTCGCGGTGCCGTGCCCCGGCCTCGCCCCGACGCGCGTGCGGCTCGTCTCTGCCGATCTGCGACGCACTTGCGCAGCACCCCGCAGATGGGGATAAGAGTGGGGGGGGCGGTGGGGACGTTGGCAGCTTGCGAGACTCTGGAGAAGCCCGCCGAAGGCGCCAAAGCTTCACACAGTATACAACGAGCCCACCGCAGGCGCCGATTGTTTCGTTAAACCAATGCGGGTAGGTCGCGGGTGGGTCGCAAATGGGTCGCGGGTGGGTCGCGAGTGGGTCGCGGGTGGGTCGCTGTCGGGTCGCGTGTATAGAGGGCAGAAAATTCACCCCATAATCATGAGCCCGAGAAGCGAAGCCGTTTAGTAAACGCACAATGAATGAATCGAACAGGGCAGGGCTGTTTAATCAACGCCCAGGGCCTTTCAGTAACCGTCAAGTGTGGGGTCCGAGTGGGTTTCCTCCCTTGAGGGTGGGTCGCGGGGTGGGTCGCGGGTGGGTCGCGGGGTGGGTCGCGGGTGGGTCGCGGATGGGTCGCGGATGGGTCGCGGGGTGGGTCGCGGGTGGGTCGCGGGGTGGGTCGCGGATGGGTCGCGGGTGCGTCGCGAATGGGTCGAGGGGTGGGTCGCGAATGGGTCGCGGGGTGGGTCACGGGTGGGTCGCGGGTGTGACGACGGCAACAAGAAACAACAAACAACAACAGCAGCAACAACAACAACAACAAGGACAACAACAACACCACCAACAACACCAACACCAACAACAACAACAACAACAACGTCAACACAAACAACAACAACAACAACCACAACAACAACAACAACAACAACAACAACAACATCAACAACAACAACAACAACAACAACAACAACTACAACAACAACACCAACAACAGCAACAACAACAACAACAACAACAACAACGGCAATTGCAACAGCAACAGCAACGGCAACAACGACAGTGCAACAAGCAGAATCCTCACCACGAATTTCTGATTCAGCCACGCGCGCAGGGACACTGAATGACTGTTCGGCTCCCTCACTCTGATATACATGTGTGTATATGTATATATATAAGCAGATATACAGGGCTGCAGTGGCGCTTCGCGCCATGCAACTTGGTTCATGAAGTCTGACATGCAGGCGGAATTGCAGGAAGGTCAAACCGACAATTAAGCGATAACTCCTTGTTGCCTTTGTTCGGCATCGTCGTTATAGTAATGCGATTCGTCATCCTTCCTTAATGCTTATTTGCCTTCATTCTCGCCATACCCTGCGCATTCTCCCCATCCTCCTCAGTTCTTTTTGCGGAGGCTCCTCCTTGGAGAGCCTCTGGGCGCCTCCCAAAAGTTGTTCAGTCCTTGTTAAAGCCTTCTGGAAGGCCTCCTGGGCGTGTTCTGGGGGCCTCTGGGGGCTTCCTCGGGCCACCCTGCCTCCAACCGCGATCTCCGGGTCACGATCTGGAATGCTTCGGAGGATGTCTTAGGGCCATATTGGGCCGCCACGGGGCTCTTGGAGGGCCATCTAGGACCCCTGTTGTGCCGTTTTGGGGCTCTCTTGGACTGCCTGGAAGCCCTTTCGGATGGTTGTGGGGCGATTTGGAGCCTTCCAGGCGGCTTCGGACGCCCCGAAAACCGCTGTCTTGGAGCGTCGGGAAGCCGAACAAAAAGAGAGAATAACCACCAAATTCACCAGCAACGAACAGAAAATGCATGACTTGTGCCTCTTGGGGCATTCTTGGGAGTGCTCTTCGAGGCCTTTTGGGATATTTTGCAGCGATCTTTCAGAATATGACGGCTTCTTGGGGGTCGTCGTGGATCGTATTGGGGCTCTCTGGGGTCGTTTCGGGACCGCGCCGGAATGCCTGGAACCCGTCTGGGACCGTCTTCGGGCTCTCGTGAGGTTCCCCCAGGTCGTCTGAAGAGTTGCCCGGAGGCCCAGGAAGGACCAAATTCTTTGGGGGGGAGCGCTTTTTCCAGCGACCCTGGCCGGGCCCTAGAAATATATATATATATATATATATATGTATTAAAGTGTGCTTGTATGTGTGTGTATGTGTATGTGTATGTGTATGTGTGTATGTGTATGTGTATGTGTGTGTGTGTGTCGCGCGTGCGCGTTTGTGTGGTCCTGGCCCTGGCCGACTCTGCATGCACGGGGCCCGCCGCGCCGCCGCTTGAGCAGGGACCGACCGTCCCGGCATTCCCCCAGGCCTACCACAACATGTTCGTAGAACCCAGACATGTTCGAATCACAACAACAGAAAAAGGCTCGTAGACCGTAGGGACCCAATGTGTGTTACACCTAGTCGGTC